GTTCTAATTGCTACCTGTAAGTCCTTGTCCTGGCCACATGTATTGATGGATCGGAAAGATTTATTACTATTATTATTATTTTAATATATTTTACTGATTTTTTTACAGAGAAGAAGGGAGAGGGATAGAGAGTTAGAAACATCGATGAGAGAGAAACATCGATCAGCTGCCTCCTGCACAGCCCCTACTGGGGACGTGCCCGCAACCGAGGTACATGCTCTTGGCCGGAATCGAACCTGGGACCCTTCAGTCCGCAGGCCGACGCTCTATCCACTGAGCCAAACCGGTCAGGGCAAGATTTATTATTTTTAAAAATCTTGATATAAAAAGCCGTTTTTCCTCATCTGTTAGCCAATTTCCTTCTTTCTTAATAGAGAAAAGCCCATTTTCTTAAAATAGATACACAAACACACGTTGATCATGCTATGGGCATAAACAAATATTAAACAACATGTTTATATGAAAAAATGTTTCAAAACCCACTATTTGCAGTAATGCTTTTTTTAAAAAAAAACAGATTGTGCCTTGGCTGGGTAGCCCAGTTGGTTAAAGTGTTGTCCCAATACACCAAGATTTCAGGTTCAGTCCCCAGTCAGGGCACATACAAGAATCAACCAATGAATGCACAAATAAGAGGAACAACAAATCAATGTTTCTCTCTCTCTCTCTCTCTCTCTCTGTCTCTCTCATCAGTAAAGTTTTAAAAAAATCAGATTGGTTTTCACACAGATCCCAAAGAGAACATACTTTATTCCAATTTCCATTTGTAACAGCTGGACGCAAGTTACATCAAGGGAGTATCACTAAGAAAAAATGTTCTCTCAGGCATGGAGGAAACACCTTTAAAAGCCACTTCTTTATAAAGTTTTTCTTTTTAAAGCAAGTAATTGAGAAACCAGTTTACGATGACTGGGTACAGCTGGGTTTCACATTTAGAAGGTTTTCACACGGCCAATTTGAAAAATCAGACACTAACTTCTAGGTCATGCCAATGATTTCAATACGTTTAGAGTAAGGAATTTCACTTTTTAAAAAAAAAGGAAAAAAAGAAAGAAGATATTCATAGGGAATTCGGTTAATCCCATTCAGCTTAGACAGTATTTCTACATGACAGAATTATTATACTTCTAAAGGCATTTATGTTGGCAGAACCTGGGCCTCCTGAAATAGGATAAAGTGGGACTCCCCTCTGTATAACACAATAAAGTGGGAACAGGGGCTGGGGGAGGGCTCTGCTAAGCTCTGGCTTCCACAGAGAAAGACTGGAAGGGGCCCAATAAATTCTTCTAATGGTTATTAGCCCGCCTTTTCTCCTCCTGAGCAGTTCCTAAAAAGAAAATTCTCTTCCCCTGCAATATGTCAAAGCCAGTGGAAACAGATCCCAGGCCGGGCACCCTGTGGCTGCCCCGAGGAGGCTGTCTGGGCGTGTGGGAACAAGCTCCCCTCTGGCGTTGCTGGGCAAAAAGTTTCGATCAAATATAAGCTGCCTGATGGAAATCAGCTTAAATGGAAGGGGAGGCCCAGGAATGTTGAAGGATGGGTTGAAATGTCCCTAAAAGTCCCAGATAACTTGTGTGAATGCTGTGCCATGGAAGTCTGATCTGAGCCCTATAGTACGGGAGCCTCTAGTTCAGTGATGGCGAACCTTTTGAGCTCGGCGTGTCAGCATTTTGAAAAACCCTAACTTTGGTGCCGTGTCACATATAGAAATTTTTTCATATTTGCAACCATAGTAAAACAAAGATTTATATTTTTGATATTTATTTTATATATTTAAATGCCATTTAACAAAGAAAAATCAACCAAAAAAATGAGTTTGCGTGTCATAGGTTCGCCATCACTGCCTAGTTCCTCAAAGCTTGCGGTGCCATAAGCTGTGTGGGCTTTACACCCCGTACCTTTGCCACTTGGACCTGAGCTCTACAGACTGACAAGTCTTATACAACTTAAGGTGGAAAAGTAAGCGGAAGCCTCTTCCTCTCATCTGCAGGCTTTAAGTCGGAACATGGATCCGAATCAGCCTCTGTTAGCAGCAGCTGCCGGGCCTTTGGAAACAGAAAGCCAAGCTATCTCCCTTTCATCTCTGCCCACTAGGATCACTGTGTTCCTGAATATTTCATTCTGTGAAACACTGACGAGGCCCTAAGGTTGCCATTCCCAGGCTACACCTTATCAAAACAAACACTGTTCTTCAGGGGGAAAAAGCACACACGCAGCCCCAGCAACCACAGACCCACAACGGAGTCACGGATGCCCGCTTTCTGAGGGGCAACGGAGCCCGCACACCCTGTCCTGACTCAGGAGGAACCGCCTTCCCTCCTCGGCCCCACCACCCCTGCCCCTTCAAAGAGCTGTGGCTACAGTCCGTCTGGAGAGGAAACCCTTGCTTTTCTTCCTGCTCCCTACCACACCTCCATGTGTCCCTTGGCAACAGCCTGTCACTCTGCAGGCCAGGGAAGGAGAGAGCACAGAGGAGCGTTTCCACCAGCTCAGTGCTTCCATCCCGGCCACCTACGCCCTTGCTGCCTGAAGACCAGCTAGAGCAACAAGATGCACAGTCTCCAATCTGGAGTTTTCCGTAAAAGAGGGATCTACTCCTTCTCAATGCCTCCCACTCATCTGCTGAGTTAAGGGAACACGTTGACTTGAGCCAAAAAGCGAAGGACAGCTTCAATGCCATAAAATGTGTCATTTAACTATAAGGACAAGAGAGCTTAAAATACAGATGACATTAAAAGATGCGACAGTGACAACTTGGATGGGAATCCTGCATTGCTTCTTTAATTTCTCATTCCCAACACCGAGCCAGGAGCTCAGGAGAGAGCTGGGATACTATAGATGAGACCCCTTCCCATGTGGAGACAGAAGTAAATAATAAAACAAGAAAAAGTCAACTGAAGGAAATACTGAGGTGCTGTGGAGAGCATGTAATAAGGGGATTGAGCAGTCTGGGACTGAGCAGACCTGTATTAAATCAAGCACTCATTAAGGACTTCAATATTCCAGCAGCTCGGTCTTTCATGGGTAATACAGAAAACCCAACCAGCAACTTTTCTTTCCTCTCATTAGAGCTCTATAAATGGCAGCACTGCATCACCATGAGAGGGAGAATAAGAGACAGCGAGAGAGAAGAATGAATGAATGAATGTCATATTTTTGTGACTGAAAAAGTTTCTAAACTTTTTGAAACTTCTTGTTTTGAAAAGTCAAAACAAGAAACTGGCTTGGTTATAGTAAGAGGCACACAATGCCAATGCCAGAACATACAATGAAAAGGAAAAGTTTTTTGTCCCCCCAAAATGGTAGCACTGGCTAACTCCTTGAATGAAAATCAACTGTACGGAGGAGAGGGAATTTCAGAAGAGCTAAGAATGGTGTAAAGGAAGTTACCTGCCTATCACAGTTTAATACTAGAGATCTAGCAGTGGTGAGCAGCTGAGAGAGAGAGAGAGAGAGAGCATGAGAACAGAAGTAAAACAGGGAAAAGTTAGCTGAACTAGACTACACAGCAGGTGGGGAAGCAGAGTGAGGTGAGAATTTAAATTTGCTACAAAAACCTCAACCCACCATTTATATGAAATGTCCAGAATCAGCTAATCTATACAGACAGAAAGTAGCCTGAGTAGGGCTGGAGGTGAGAGGGGAAATGAGGTGTGACTTCTAATGGGCATAGGTTTTCTTCCTGGGGTGATGAAAATGATCTGAAATCAGATTGTGGTAACGGTTGTATAACTTTGAATATAACGAAAACCATTCAATGGCTTAAATGGGTGAATACTATAGTACGTGAATTATATCTCAATAAAGCAATTAACGAAACAAAACCCCAGCAAAGAGCCTAATCCACGTGAAAACTGAGGGAAGACGCTGCCTTCCTCGTGCTGAGGGGCCCCACACAAAGCCACGGTGAGGGCGACACCAGGCTGCCCACAAACCAGACCCGGGAATCTCAGACCCTCTGGGGCCACCTCCAAAATACAGACTGGGTGAACCTGCAACTTAGATTTTCAAACTGCGCTGGAAAAGAGATGGCAGGTCACTGAAGAAAACAAGGAACTCACATGCCATGCCATTTAATTACATATTAACATGGGAGCCAAAGGGAAGGAGCTGAATTGTTGGGTAGAGCACAGATGTTAAACAGCAGCACGGTCTTAGAGCAGAGGAGGACCTGAACAACCCTCCAGTGGTCCCACACATTTGTTACCTGAAGGGCACCAAGCTGAGACACACAGATGCCCGGGCCCGCCTGCGGAAACTTAAGTGCAGTCTGTCCGGGATGAGATGTGAAAACAAGGGCTCTTAAATTCCCTTGATGCCACTACGCACCTGGGACCAGACACTACTAAACTAATCAGAATGCTTCATTTTAGAGAGGAAAGAGATGTGCAAAGAGCTCAATTCAACGTTGCTCAAGTCAGGCAGCTGAGCAGCACGAGTCAGGACTACAATCCGTGTCTCCTGACCCTCATGTCAGGACAAGCACGCCTACTGTGTAAGTGTGGGGGGAATAGGTAGGGGGGCCACGCTCAGAAAATTGAAAATCCTGGCCTCAAAACTGGTCCGATCCCATTATAAGAAACTAAAGAACAAACGCCTGGAAATACGTAGGGATGTGAGTGACCTTGAGATTGGACTGGGGAGACTTCAAGATATGCCTGGATTTCACTGCCCTGCTGAGTCCGGATGGAACCCAACCCCCAACAAATGCAACTCATTGGTGAGGACGGCAGATTCTTGTAACTCCATAGGCGAGATCCGATCGGGAAAATTTTTTACCAAATGAGTCCAGTGTTAGAAAGGAAACGCCAAGGAATGTAAAAGCCGATGCTTCATTCTGTCGGCTGTGCACAGAGCCAGTGCTGTCTGCGAAGAAGAGGGCGGGCCCTGACAGACCGACCTTCACAGAGCATGCTAAACCCTCTTAAAAAGAGCCGGTGTATGAATGCTCTGGCTGACGTGCACTGAGCCATTACATTACCGAGCAGTGTGCTTCTTACCTATAATTCCACTGTCCTTGCTCTCCAGGGTGGAACTAGGGCTGCTAATGGTCTCACAGGGACTTTTGTTGGCTGCCGTCTTGCTGACACAGCTATTCAAGGTTGAGCAGGGGCTATCGGTGCTAGGAGATGCGGTGCTGCTTGTTAGTGTGGAGCAAGGACTGATGCCTTGGCTCAGAGCTGTGCACTGTAAGACGAACGGAAGGAGGTAAGTTAGCAGGGCTCACACAGGACGCTTCTACACATGCTTTTGCTTTTGATGCTAAAACGATTAACAGTTTTTAAAATCTTGGGAGCTTACTATCTATACGGTCTCTGAAAGTTTAAGGAAAACATCCTTGCTCTGTTCCCCTCCCTGATTTTTCTCTTTTATGGCAAGGGCACTCTCAGAAATAATTGAGTGGGAACGCACGTTTGGAAAACAGAAATAGCAAACAGGCCGACTTCCTCTCATTTCAAGTCTGCAGAAGACAAATGGGTCCTCTGACCTCTGTACGGAAAATCTGGGAACTCTGTTTTTGTAATGTTTCACGGGTGCTGCAACCTGATTCAATTCCTGGAGATTTACGGGCTCCGGGGGCAGGGGAAGGGAGACTGGTGGTCAGTGCAATCGCATTCGAGGCATGACGCCCATGCAGAGCCCCTGGCAGGGGAGAGCAGCTCCGGCCCCTCATTGCTATTCAGCGGACATATCTCCTCTCAGAAGTGGCAGGCTGCCATGCCCCGGGATAGGGAATGCTCTCTGGTAGATGAACCATTTGGTTTCATCTCATTTTGTCTCTGCCTCATCTCCTATAAATCTTTTCCTCACCCCGCTGACCCTCCAAAATCTCAAGTGCTTAAAAAAAAAAAAAAAAAAGCACAGGAAAGCATATACCAAAGCAGCCACATGAGAAAAATGGGGCTATAAAGATAAAAGGAGCATCATTACTGAGGAATTCTCTCAGCCACTTCAATTCATTTAGCTACTCTTCTCCAGGTGGTGACTGTGGAAGGTTAATGTGGACATTTTCTTAAGTTCTGCACCCTCCTGCATCTCCCCACTCCCACCCTCTCCCGCCCGCCCCCTGCAAAAATCCACAAGGAGTTGCAATACATTTCAATACACAACAGCCCAAACTCATTTGACCAAACAATGACTTCCCCACTCCAGGTGGGAGAAGATGGCTGTCCCTTCATTCATCCTCTGGGCAGGTATGGGGTGCAGTGGCCTCCTCGGGCATTACCATGGTTTCATTTTTTTCTTCAATGGTTATGTGTGTGGAACTTGGGATCCCTTCTCCCAGTAAAAATCCCAGCCTTGTCAACAGTTCTTGAGCTGCCGGCGAACAGCTCGGTTCATTATCGGCCTTTGCTTCTGGAACAAAGAAAGAAAACAATGAAGATGCCCTCTGGGGAGTTTCAGTATCACATCTGGGGAGTTGGCACCACGGCTGCCTGTCTGGTGCTCTTGTGTATTTTTATAAAATGCACTAAGTTTGACACTGTTGCCTGTCCTCTGGCAATACATGCTCATTAAGAGGCTGTGACACGTTAGGAAAAGAGGAAAAGAGAAACTCCAAGGGCAAAGGGTGAAATACTTGACCTGAATCAGAAGAACCCAGTGTTATTATCTGGAAGCTATTCTTAGTTCCATGTCATGTGAAAAACGGGTACGTCAGACACCAAAAGCAGAAAAAGGCCTTCATCTTCCTCTTTAAGAGCAATGTGGCCAATGCCCACAGAAGACTGAGATAAAGCAACACGCAAGAGAGGCATGCTGGCAAGGTGGGGGCAGGACCACTTTGGTGGAAACTTGCTCTGCAGAACCCTAACCCTAACCGTAACCGTAACCATAACCCTAACCCTAACCCTAACCCTGCAGCAGTGACAGACATCCAGGATTCCAACTCAAGGGCTAATCACCAAAAGTCCAAGTTGAAACAAAGATTTTTAAATCCCAGCGAAATGTGTCCCAAGAGACAGGATCCAATAATACACCTTACTGTCCATCCAAATGTAGAATAATCGGGCTGTGTTCTCAACATACTCCATGGTAAAGTTAGAAGCACCTTTTACCTGAACGTCACAGGGTATGCTCAGAAAACTTCCTTTCTTATCTGACCTCTCTAAGGCTGGTCGTCTTGTTTTTTGCACTTAAGAAATTTTTATCGTTGGATTTGATGTAAATGCTGAGCTGTAGGTTAAGCTTGTGTGCAAAAGCCTAAGGGTACGTACTTAATTATGGTTGACAACATGATGGTCACATTATTCTCACACCTCTCTTACATTTTAAAATCAGCATCCATCAGGGAATGAAATAATGTAGAAAGCAAACTGCTTACTGAAGTTAGAACTTAAGAACAATATGCAACTTGTGACAGTCTCTCATCTTCATGTTTTGTTCATTGTCTAGAGCTGTACATTCATGAACCAATTTTCCCTAGATGTGGAAATCTCCAGATAAGAGATAATAGGTCTTAGAAAAATACAATAAAGGAAGAACAAAATAGCAACACTACCTTTGAGTTGTAATGTCGGCACCAAAGTTCAGAGCTTACTGCCTTTTTAGGAATCTTGAAAATCATAATAAGCAGAGCTGAGAGGACCACCTGTATTATCCTCACTCGCATGAAGGACAAGCACCCCACCCCCTGCTTACTCTCAAAGGCTTCCAATGCTCGGGGTGGGAAGAAGAGCCCTTCACCAACGTGGATGGTTTTTCCTAGTAGTTGCGCTAGAAAACTAGGGGTAAAATAACCCAGGCTTCATTGCCTGGGCTAAGAGAGCCCCGGATCATTTGAGTCAAACTCATAACATGAAGGGGCAGTGGGCCCAAGCCAACAGGGTTAAGGGAGCCACCCCAGGGGCAGGCAGCCACACCCTCAGCCACTCTAGAGAGGCCCCTTCCCACCAGACATCTCAACCACATTTTGATTCTCAAGGTACACAGGCATCTGGGTGAGGAAGGCAGGAACCAAACCAAATCGGCACAACCCAGGCACACCCAAGGGCTGAACCACTTCAGAACAGATCAGTCCCACCCTCGTTGCCCAAGGCTCAGGCAGGGCGGCTGCTTTATCTTAGGTGGCAGCTGGACCAGAGGAAAAAAACAGGATGCCTATGAAAAGAAGAAGAAGTGGGTCAAGGGGCAGAACTCGGCAGTTTCTCTGCTCCACGCCCCCCCTTTCCTTTCGAAACAATCTCTATATTGCTACCCAGTTGTGACTGTGCCCCAGAACGGTCTAGCTTCCAGTTCAACCTGGAACACTCTGGGGAAGGAGCCAGAAACTACTCCCAGTTGGCAGCTGCTGTGGAGGCAGGGAGAGCAGCTGCACAGGCTTGGCCGCCACAAAATTCACCCTGAAGACAAAGAGCCTATGGCTCACGTGGGGCTCGCTCCAAGACCCTGCACCCTGTGTCGGTCCTGCAGGGAACAGGGGTGCCCCTGGCCCAGTCACTGCTGCCTCCACACTGCATCTGCAGACACACAGCCCAGACTATCAAAGACAAGTAGTCATCCAAACCTCCCCCTTACAAGCTGGGGAGCAGTGGCAACTCCAGGTTTACTGTCTGAATTGACAAGACACTCAAATGCATGATTAACTTGTTCTCAAAACTGTTCAACCTGGACTTTGCTTCTAAGTTCCAAAACCTACTGAGGATTATCTCAGTTTTTGCATTCCTTAGGAAACTGTGATTATTTTTCTTCTGAAAGCTTCCCAACTATCCCTTCAAATTATTCTCTCTTCTACAATGTCATCCCAGTGACCTCCCCCCACCCCAGACATCCCCTTCAGTCTGAATTCCTTAATCCACATCAAGTCGTCTGCATCTTTCCTTCCCTCACGCACAAAGCCTTCTCTCACTGAACTTTTAGTTCTGAAAGGACACCCGGGTAAAGTGTAACAATGACATTTTGGAAGAGATGAGTTGCTTGGGAACTCACTCTGAGGCACCTGACTATGAAATGGAAAAGCATTTCTACCTCCATAGTTCATCACCAAATCCTGAGATCTGAACAGCCAGAGAGGATTTTCTTTAAGCGAATTCTTACTTCAAAATGACCCTCCAAACCAAAATCCACTGGGATACTCTAAAGTTTCTTTTCATCTGTGCAGTTAATATTTAATCACTGATCAATACTGGCTGTAATGTACCCCAATACCAGTGGGATTAAGGGTTGAGAGGAAGACCTCATCTCTTAGCAATGCTTTACATCTCACAGATTTAAATATCCAGAGAATTTACAATGGCTGTATTTGGAGTTGAGAGAATAATTTGCTTTACTCCTTAGGAATCCATTAGGCAAGTGGAGAGTGATATTACTCCCAATGCTTTCAAAGAATCCTCAAATATCATACCATTGTGGAATATCATGTGGAGAAGGGCAAAGGGAATTTCCTGGATCACTTCCTGTCTGCCTGTTTTTAGCTAGTCACACCTGTCGGACCGTGTCCGGGGCAGGGACATTCAGGGGTGTAGTCCATGAACTGACTGGCTCCCCAGTTACCGCCACTATAACTCCAAACCTATTAGCCATTCCCTCGCCCGCCCCCACAGTCTCAGAGAAAAGGTCTCTTCCACGCTAAAGCTATTCTGGACCCTTTACAGTGTTAACCTCTCTAATTTCCTCACCAGGGAAGTAGCCAAAACCTACTTCTTATATGTTGGTAAGGCTCAAAAAAAATGTGAGCAACACCTTATAAACCAAACATCTTTGAGATAAGCTAATATATCAAAGTTGGTCATTTGTCTTACCAATTTTAACACCAAGAGCCCCCTTTTTTCACTAACATATAATTTTCAGGTTCCATGGATTCATATCTATATTTAATGTGCCTACATTTCTCTTACCTAAAAAACAGTTCTGTTTATATTTTTTTCTGTCTTAACTATTTCTGAACTCACTATTCCTTCAGAAGAACAAATTCCCTCCTTTTGTCTGATTATCAAACTGTTCCAACTTGGCCCACACTTACTGCATTCATTTCCCATCTTCTTAAAGCCTGACTGTTAGAACCATGAAGATCCCTGGAGATTACCAAAGATCATCCCATCAAGAGAAGCCTCCTCTCCACTCCCATCCTCCTCAAATTCTACCGAACTCTGGGCATTACAGACAATGTCCAGCCACTCACTAGCTGCAGGACCTTTAATATCAGCTTCCAAGACAGTATTTCTGAATCAAGTCTGATAAATGGAAATATGGTCTTGATTGATGTTAAATCCCTTCCTCTGCTTCTACCTATCCATGACCTGCTCCTTGCCCAACATCTGGTCTTCCTTGCCCTTTACTTACCAGCATTTGCCTGTTCTTTCTAGCTGTTCCTTCTCCTAAGCCATCAACCATCCCCCGCCCCCCCCCCTTGGGTCTCCCAAAACAGTATTTTATAGAGGAGTATCCACCCATGAACCGGCACTGGTTCTGTTGGTTTCTAGACTGTAATTAAAAAAAGAAACATAGCTAACATACGAGTTACTATTAAGCTTTTTATCTCATCCACCCCCTATTGAATTATCACCAAATCTTAACATTCTTCTTTCAAAATGTGTCCTGAATTAGACTTTTTCTCTTCATTCACCCTGCCTCTTATTTCTAAAGTCCTCAACTCAACTCCTCAAGTCTAGATAACCAAACATTTTGGTGTCAGTGCTCATCCTTAAAAATTGAGCACTCCAAAGAGTTTTGGCTAATGTGGATTTTATATATATATATATGTGTGTGTGTGTGTGTATATATATATATATATGTGTGTGTGTATATATATATATA